AAAAAAAAGGTACCAGAATAACCTTTAATTATACTAGTGAATAATGAATATTTTATTCTACATGGTGGACATTTCCTTTCTATTTTTTTTATGCCTACCGCAAATACTTGAGATTGAAATTAATAATTAATAATAAATATTTAAAGTTTAAATTTTTTATTTTTGCAAATCAGTAGTTTTATTGTTATTACAAAAAATCAAAAATAATATATGCACTATACCTATTTATATTCTTGCAGTCAAGGAAATAAATAAATATTTGTTGTCTTTTTTAACATTAAAATAGAAATTTAAGTTTAATTAATTTTATGATTATTGTTTATACACATAATATAATTATTTTCTTATCTAAATATATATAATACAGTATACACTATATACTGTAAACATAACATATACTGTATTTATTTCTTTATTTCGTTATTTCTTTTCGTTATTTCTTGTTTGCAATATCTGATTATCTTAATGCCTTTTTTTTTTGTCAGACAAATAAATTATTTGCTTATTTGATTATGAATTTATTTTTATCATGTTAGATATTTCACATTCAAAGAAATTCCATGTTTCGCAATTTATACTGTATAAAGTATATTTTAAAAACATATTAATTCGTTTATTATTGCTATGGGTCATAACAAGTTCGTTGCATTCTTGAGTGTGACGATTCTTCTAGTCGAGTAAAACCGATTCTTGCATATTCTTTCGGACGCACCTTTATTGACGTTCTTTATGTGTTAGCTACTGCTGTACTGTATAGAGAGAAAATGTTAATTTCGCAGTATATCCACATATGGAAGTGAGTATGCACGTAGACGTTTGTAGAATGTTCTGGTTTATGACGTCATTATGGTGATGTGATTCGCGATAATTGTAGACAGCACTAGAATTTCGCTGAAAAATGGTATAAATACAACCGTTGAACGTTTCGTTCGTAGCTTCAGATTTCAAAAAAAAACATTTCTAATAACAACAAACCTTCGATAATACATTCAAGCAATAAAACTTTCAAAAACACACGCATACTAAATTTTCTAAACAAATCACAAAAAATGTCGATCGTCGGTTACAATTGGGATAATGATCTCGGCCGATTTGAATCCTCGGTCAATAATTTGTTCGATAACTTCTTCAGGGATCTCAATGTGCCCAGACGTTCCGGCCGCTCGAATGCTAGGGATAATAGACTTTCCAAGTATTGGGCACCTCCTCTCGATGTTCATGAGACCGAGAAAGAATATATCGTTAATGCCGAATTACCTGTATGTATTTTATAGTATGCTTGAATACTTTATTACTTGCGTATCATTTAACATACTTGCTAAAATATATTTTGATCTTGAATTAGGGCGTTAACAAGGAAAACATCAATGTTGACGTGCGCGAAAATGCTCTTGTGATTTCGGGTGAAACAAAGCAAAATCAAGAGTATAATGAAGGAAATACTCATATTCAAGAACGTCGATATGGGTCGTTCCATCGTGCCATCAGTCTCCCTTCGAATGCCAAGTCTGACGAGATCTCGGCCAAATTTGAACAAGGCATTCTTGAGGTGAAGATTCCTAAAGGTGAAGCACCTGGTAACAAGAAGGTTACCGTTCAATAAATGATGTAAATTTGTAGCATGTAGTTTTTTATATAAATTAGTTTATTATCAATTCACTTTCAATTTTTCGCTTTCATACAAAACTCAATTATTCCAACATTAGAATTAGTAAGTTCAAAAGCGCACTAATGCCAGTCTGCATTTTTTCTTGATGTATATTGATCTGATGATGTATTAAAAATAAAGAAAACATATTACGTATTATACTTACTTGTAAAATATGAGTTCTTGTATATTTTTTAAAACGTAATGCAAGTATTTACATTATAATCACTTAGCGTTGAGTGGCTGATTCTGAATCAAGTATACCCCAAGTGAAAGTCATTTTAACGAGATTTATCTTTTTGACACTTGAAGATAATAATAATAAGAGAGAGACTTATTATCAAGTTATGCCAGAGCACACATTTACCATTATATCATTATAGAAGTGACGCGTTACAATTATGACCCAAACACATGATTAGAAAATCCATATTATTTAAATTATAAAAATTCCTTTTAGTACCGTACCGGATTTAGTTCTCTTAAATTGACTTTTTTTTAAATCAAATTTTCGCTAAATATGAACCAATTTCTTCGTATATAGAATATAAACATATCATGATTTTTAAAATGAAATAAAATAAGATTCCGAAATGTAAAAATTTAATTACTATATAATTAAAAATATTTCAATAATAAAGTTGATATAGTAATCAAACAATATATTACTTTACGTTTTTTTGAAATTTTAAATTATTTTAAAAATTTAGTATAATATATTTATTTGACACCATTTTTTAATATCAACGATAATATTATTGTTGTTGTTAAAAATATCGATAGTATAATTGTGCTATTTAAGATAATGTAAAATATCATAAATATCATATTTTCTTTTTTATTTGACATGGCATAATATGTAAATAAATAAATATTATAGAAATCATAAGATCACGTAGCAAATAATTAATTTTTTGCATTTATCTATTTCTTATTGATAATAATTTTCGGTATAATGTATGTATTTTTTTTTTTTTGTTTGTTTTTTTTAAAAAATAAATTACGTATTTAAATAAATCTTAAATAAATCGATGAGTACGTATGTGAATATTTTGAAATTATAAAAATCAAGATTTGACTATTGATATTTCATCGATAATTAATTTACACATATCAAAT